ATTCTTGTAGTATTTATTATTTCACTCCTCTTTGCATAGCGGGCACGTGTACTGTTGTTTGAGGCCCTTGATTGCAAAACTCCACGTTGGAGCAAGTCAGACATGAAACCAAACTGGATTCCGGAGGAGCTTTGGAAGCAGCCAAACTACCTTAGGAACACACAGCTTCACGAACTGTGCAAGCTCAGTTTGGTTCATATCTACGGAGATGGATGGACTTGATTAAATGTAATAATATTATTAAATTTTTGAATCGTCACCATTACCATTTCAGATCTTCTCCGCATAGTACTTTCATCAACCAAGTTACATGCCCTTCGCCAACCAAGTTACATGTCCTTCGTCGCTCAATCCGTACTGCAAAAACTGCCAATTTGCTTCTTTGCTTCGTGGCGGGAAATACTTGCTCAACTGCCTCATTGCGAGAAATTCATGTCGTGTCAATAAACTGATTCCCCCTCATGAGTAAACATAAATCATCTCATTGACATACTGTATGAGTGAACAACGCTTACTGCACCCTAACACACATCTCATCTGAGATTCCATACGAAATGTTCGTATTACTCTTCAGGTTCAACATATATGACAGCTGTACAGTTCACGTTTTTGACACCTACCAGAAAGGTTCGGCCTTATACTATTGAAGTCTTTGGGTGCTGTCTTTTTATTGAAGTGATATTACTACTGTCCTTTTCACCTAAAGTTGTACCGGGCAGTGTGACGGAGCTAGAGCATGGGCCTGTACTACTATACCACATCGTGGTATTACCATCGCAATGGTATATTATTCGACGGGCCGACTACCTTCGAATTCGATCGTCTTGCCATTTATTCTACAGGACCTCTCTCCAAGGGTTGTCAGCTTTAGTTAGATTTTAGTTAGTTCACTTTTATATTTCCCTAACATTGGATCTACTCCATACTTGCTGTGTTCTTCTTGGCCAAGCCGAGAGTATCCGGTCCTGAAGGCCAAACCTCCGGACCTTCGTAACTTTTGTGCGTCTAACCCCTACGACCATCACAAAAATGGTGGCAAAGCAGGGTAACTCTCCTTTCAAACCAAGAAACCCAGTACACCTGGATGAGCAAAGGCCTCTCGATCCACCTCCCGTCCACACAATCGCAGATAACACGGATGCCGCCTCAGCCGTCCTAACCCGAACCCCCGACCGATACGAGACTTGACCTCGTGAGCGTGGCTGACGACAAGGTCAACCTTAGCAGCAGCTCTGATGAAGAGTGTAAAAGTCAGCCTGAACCTGCCCAAGGCACCCCTGTCCATAAATAGTTGAAGCGAGACATCAACTACCGAATCCAACACCACTCCTACTCGCCTGAGCAACGAGATTTGGAGAAACGAAGCAAAGCGGCCGAAGACTCGGACGAGGCCGTCGATACTACCTCGACTACCGCTCGTCGTGAACTGGTTTCTCTCCTCGACGACGAGAGTGATCAATCCATGGAGCCCCGAAGTTCTTCTGAAGAGCTTGTATACACAGATGAAATGGCTGAAACTACCTCCGACGAAAACAAGTCAGACGAGTCCATGTTGACCGAGGGCAACGACGACGATACGTTGACATAGTCTGTTGTCCCGCTCACCTCTACAAGTCCGATTGCGCGCTTGGACTCGAACGATTCGTACTACTCGTCAAGTCCTACGCCTGGGACGTTATCGCTACTTACCTTTGCCGTGCATTCTGCGACCGAAACAAATCATCACTTGGCTCAAGTGTCCACCCACGCCGCTGGTGTACCAGCCTTGATGGAATCTACGCATGTGGTGACGACTCGCACCGTCCAGGTTAACGCTGAAGTCCAGCTCACTATGGCGAGACGAGCTTCTCCCGAAAACTACGAAACCAGTTTAGTACTAGACCAGAGAGATTGCGCTTTGACTCTTCGTCGCCGACTCGTATGACCCTGCCAGCTTCCAACTTCGTTCACGAGACTGCCGTCTACAATCCTGCCTTACCATTTGGATTGCCCCTAGTCGCTCACGTGGATCCGAGATGGAACGAAACTCCCCCCAACTGATGGACAACAACGTCTTTTCTGCCCGTCCAGCCGAATCCATGGGTGTGGAGGCCATCAAGGACCATGTCGAGCCCAGTCCGCTATTCGGCAGGGTGCCCATTCATCAACCTATCGTGGAACATCATCAGCACTTGACGGTATTTGAACCGAACCTACCGTTTGGTCTGGCTCCTGTCGTTCACCACGACGAAACTAGTGAGATCGACGCGACTGATGAAAGGATTTCGTTGACGAGGCCGCCAATCTTGACGCTTGACGGACCACCTCCCATCCGATCCATTCTCGACGACTTTGTTTAAATGGAAACGGACGACAACTCGATCATGCAACCTACGACCGAGTCGGATTTGGTCGCTAATTCTCCCATCCAGTGCGGATCTCGCAAATATAGAACTGCGAACCTCACTCCAAAGATTTTCAGACCACGTTTCAGCACAAGTCCTAACCTTGCAAGCCTCGTCCCTCGAACACCAAGCTGCGACTACGGACCTTTCGCACAGAGTGGACGAAACCCTTTCGTCTACCCGTGTCTGGTAGTTAGCTGCTACCGACGAACTTGCCCACCTCGGCAACGCTGCTGATACAGTGGCCGAACGTAACAAGACTTTTACTCAAGACGCTTCGTCGATCCAAGTTGAACTTCAAGCATTGGACGCTTCAGTGAAATCGTTCGAACTTCTGCGTTGGCAGTTTCAGATCCAACGGCAATCTCCGCCAATGCTCAGGCCATTTCTGAATTGCATTCTTCGGTGCAAAGTCAAGCCTCAGCCACCGCTTAACTGCAGACCTCTCTTCACTCGTACGAAGATCGTGTCTCCCGCGAAGTTGAACGCCTCTCGTGTGACGTCCAAGTTTGTCTCCTCCACGAACAACTTCCTGCACCACCTGCCTTTTCAGACGACACTCGTCCCTGCCTCGAAGCGCTTCGCCAGGAAAACCAACTCTTACACGAACGCGTCTCGTCTCTCGTCCACGACAAGACCCTTCTGCAAGACCGCGTGCTACTTTTCGAAGCACGCATTGATCAGCTCAGTCTAGACTTCTCGTCCCGTCTAGCCCAAGCTTCGATCCCGACACCCGAACCATCCTCGGGCTACCCATTTCAGCACCTTCCGAGCTCACTTCCCTCTTGACTAAAATGTCCAGTGAAATGGCTGATGCCAAGGAGGCTATCGACACGTCCTGGAGAAACTAAGCATTCGGTCGCGCTGTGAAATACACTATCATCCCGTCGTTGGACGCCCATGATCACTGTGAGTACTTCATCAAGCAACTTGTGGAACAAGCTGACCGCGGTGGTCTCACCGACGAAGAACGCAAGTCCCTTCTCGGTCTGAAGCTCTCGACCGACAAGACTCCCACTACCCTGAACGTCTGGTGGATCACCTCCTCCAAGACGAAAGGCGGTGAGGTCTGGTCTGAGATCCATGACAGCTGTGTGGACCAGTTCTGCAGCAGCACTCCTCGCGACCACATGGATAACCTGATCGAAGCGTCTGAGCGTTACATGGACGAACCAGTAAAGGCGTACGCAATTCGACTCCAGACAATCTTGGACGAAGTGGACTTCCCACCTAGTAAAGGGGTTGCCATGTTCAAACGAGGAGTCCCACATGCCCCGGCAGTGTCATGTCTCGAACACACCGACCGCGAACTCAACTCGACTGCATGAAACTCCTTCGCGCGCGTGAAGTTCGTCTGGACGAAATAACTGCCAAGCCCCAGACGTACGCCAAGCATCGATCCAACTCCTCGGCCTTTACGTCGGCGTCGTCTCGTACAACTGCCACTGAACGTTCAACTCCTTCGGCTTCGCCTCGTTTGTCACGCCGCGGATCCCATGTCGAGTTTGAAGACGAAGCGGCGATGCTACAACTTCTCGAACTCATGACGACGAACCATGCCCAACAACAAAAGGCGTTCGTCGCGTTGATCGAGCGTTCGAAGCAAGTCCTGCAAGGGTTTGTCGACGCCATGAGTCGTCAAACTCAGCCAAATTATGCTGCCCCGATCCAACCGACGCAACCATACGGCTCCGCCTATTAACAAGCAGCTCCAGTCCAGCCCGCGACTTTGTCTTTTGGACAGTCGTATCAACAACCATATGCTCCTAATACCATTGCACCTTTCGGCCAAGCGGCCCTTCCACCGAAACTGACACCGACACAGAATCAAATGTCCAGTGCCGGACGTACTCGAGTTGGCCATACCCCAGTGGTGATCTCGTCCAAGCCGACGAAATGACGGTCAGCGGCCATAAAGTCTGTGGTCGTTGTCATGCTGGCGCCAGCAACGACCGTCTCGTGTGGGGTGCTCAAACTCCATGGGAGACATAGGTTAAAGTTGCTTTGAATACCCCACAGAGAAAATACGTTGCTTTGACCCGCTAAACTACCACGACATGATCCGCAAAGTGTGGGATAACGGCGGCAAGACCCGCACTGGCCAGGGGTCATTCACCCTGCAATTGTATGTGCACATTGGTACGATTGATAAAATAAATATCAATTTCTCGAATTTTGCCATTCGTAATTTCAAAACATAAATATTTTGAAAATGTTCGAATATTAGAAAAACATGAAGTCGGGATACGTCGTGCGACACAACAAAACATTGCACTCTCCGCCACAAGGGTTGCCGATCATGTACGCCAACATGATATTTTGCTTGGACCACTACAAACAGAGTATTTAAACATCGCAAGCGCGCGCTTGCCAGCAACTTCGCCAGTTGAAATACCAACCAACACGATTATGCAACAACTTGGCCCAAATTGGCCTTTCTATTATTTAATAAATATGATAGACCGTGCCCATCGTGTTGAAAGGGATGAACAGTCATATCGTTGCGTTCGCATGCGACTTGGAGAGTTGTTAAGCCCCCCGATCGACTGTTACATTTCGGTTGAAGACATTCGACAAATTTTGGGTCTACCATCGTATCCTTTGGTTCCTCCATTCCGTGTCCCACTGCAACCAACAAATGCTCCACGTGTCAACATTGAAGACATCGATCATCTCGACCAGTAAAAATAGTACAAAAAAATCGTTTTCAATTTTGGGCAGCTTAGATATTTATATATTTATACAATTGCATCTGAAAATCAAACTAAACAATGCCTGACACATTGCTTACATCATTAGAAATGTTTCTTTATCTAATTCATCTACATTGTACCCGCAGTGGCGATACAGGTTATACCCAGTGCTCACATCCTCTTTCGTACATTGTACAAAGATAACGTCAAGAGCCGATCGAATATTAAAACGAAAGGCAATTCGGTATTTGTTGGCCCATCGCTTGAGTAGGCTGAAGAAGACTTCAATCGGGTTTAGTTGTGGGGAGTACGGGGGCAAGAAGAAGAGAAGCGACCCAGTTGAATGGACAGCGTCTTCGAGCTCCTTGTACATGTGTATTTTTGCGTTGTCCAGTATTAGGATTCACCTTGAAAGCGACCAAGGATTCAAATACGGCAAAACACGCTCCACCATAGTGCTGTGGAAGATCTCGCGGTCGAAGGTGCCTAGTTATTTGTTCACAACAAATTCATTAATTGTGATCTAATTTGCTACAAAATGAAAATATAAAAAAGGAATTTACCGTCTACATAACCCCACGACAAAACTCCTCTTGTAGAATAGGCTGCCTGTGCTGACACACGTTGCCCACGTGAAAATCGGAGCTCCACAATCGCGCGTGTGTTCCTTTTCGACCACGCATACTTCCTGATGTAGTCTCCCCATCTTTAGACGTCTCATCCACAAAGATCAGCTGATCTGGCGATGAATAAAATGGCTGCAGCGTTCTGTAATAGTCTTGGAGCTCGTAATCAGCAGCTTCTCGTGCTCGTGTTTTTAGAACTATTATACAATGTAATGACGTGTTTTAAAATTGATAATTGTTTTAAAATTGATAATTAGTTCGAATATTATCACCTTTCCTTGTCAAACCCAAATCGTGCATCAACGCACGGCAAATCATAGCTTGGGAATTGTTTAACAGGGACGGGAACCCAGCCCCGAGCGCTTCTTGAAGCTCCTCAATGTAGACGCATGGGTGGTCTATTGTGTACTCAAGTATCCACGCATTGACAGTGTTTGGCCACCGGGTCTTCTTCGTTGCCCTGTGAGTTGAATCGGCAGAGCTCGTGGCGAAGAACTGTGCGACAAAACGCGTAACAGACCTGCGTGAGAGACTCAACAATACCGCACACAACATCAACGTCAATAGAGTAGACCTGCACTAGAATGACGCATAGCCATCTCATGTCTGGGCTTATAATACTCGTAAACACCCGTGTTTGCCAAAATCAAATGGGCAAACGCTTCATATCAGCTAATTGTGGCCTGCAAGCCAGCAATTTTTTGATAAACCATCCAATCAAAACGTCGCGTCATAAAACTTGCAACAATTAGCATTACTTCAGTATAAATAAAATAAAGTTCCATGGATCCTAAAAGTTGCATGCATGCTCACTAATAGTGGGTGTTTAGGCTCAGATTAGCCAGAATATGTGAAAAGCACAATACCTGTAACGCGAGCAATACTCGAAAGCACATGGATTACATTAAAGTACGTTGATTGGCTTATAAATGTCATTTATTGGTCGAATCAAAATAGTGCGACTATAGTTTTGTTACACCCAAAATTTCGAAAATTTGATTTTTTCGGGATCCACAAATGCTTGACAGAGCTGTGAGCAAAATTCTTCGGTAGGGTGCCTGGAAGCATCGTTTAAAGTTTTTGCCTTGAAAACTTCAAATTTATGTACAGTAATTGTACTGTTATACATGTAGAATCAACAGGCTCACAGCTGATATCTCATCAAGGACCTGATCCATTTGATAGAGACTACTAGTACTTCCGGTAGTACAGACCAGGAATGAATACAGTATACGAACTCCTCATTCGATTCCGAAAAGCAAGCGATTTACCTTATCCACAAAAAACTCTAGTAACTTAACTGTAGTGTTGAGTCTTTCAAAGGCCTTGATCCGTACAGTACTGTACTACAATGAGTGCATGGAGCACTCTTCACGACGAACCGCTCCGTGTCATCGTGAAGAGTGCTTCTGCTTATGACGGTTCTACAGTGTACGTACGGTGATCGATTGGCTTTGTTTCTGAACGCTTACGATTTCAAGTACTTTCATTCGATACAAAACCTTACGATCAGTACATGTGTAGAAGGGTTCTAACAGTAGTAGATTGGAGGTGAATGTTCGGTCTGATACACATTGTCTCTCCCCGATTTGATTCCCAAATCCTTGTGTGCACGAACATTTGATTCTACATGCAACCAATCCCACCTTCGACAATGATACAGTAGACTCCAGCTTCGTATGTCATCACCGCATGTACTCCATCTGTCCCCTACCCAACTCAGGCATCATGGATTGCTTCGTCCCCCCAGACCTGATCCCAGTGGGTGATGTGTTGTTATCATCGGCGAACCTTTTGCTCACACATTGAGCTCAAC